CCCCCCCCACACACACACACAATGTACATATCAAATGCGTACCCAGATACGTTAACATGCGATTTGATAAAAATTGCCTCGAAGAAAAAAAATACTGTTTACTTCGATTTCATTATTTTGACGAGCACCTGATTTCACCACGATGCCTATACACTATATTTAATTTTGTAGGGGCCAGGTGCTTCGCCGTTGCACGCAGAAGACAGAGTTCCATAACCGTGTGGGGATAATTTTTATTGAGTATATCTGCCATTCTGTTGGTACGTCGTATCATATTCAGCCCGGGTTGGTCCCATGCATGCTAGGAACATTTCCACTCGCATTACCCTTTCGAGTATGCAAATGAGACAAGTTTTCCTCGTTCCTCTCTCTTCACCATCATGTGACGTCAGCCTGGAGACAAGTGGGAATTTTTCTAGTGTGCGCGGGGCCTAATGTTATGTTGCTTACTTAAGACATGCCAACAGAAAACCTTTCTCTGTTTTTTTTAATGTATGTAAATATGAGCAATGAATTGTACATTATTATATTTTTTACGACATTGATGTCAGTTCTGTAGTATCATACTTTTGCAATAAAAACTCTTCCAGAAAAAGTATTACGTTCTGTTGTTTCCATAATTATGGAAATCATGAAGTCTTGGTCTTATCCTATACCGAAGCGCTGTAGCTGAAAACGTATACATCCGGGCTAGATGTCTATACTGGGCCATCTTTCTACTTATAATCAAAAAGGAAAACGCTTACTTACTTAATTACTTAGTTGGAGAATAGGCATCATTGCAGGCGGCACAATGCCATAGCTGCTCCCCCCTCCTCTCCAGGATCCAAGTAAGGGTCTGCTTTCTGATCATGCCAATTACCAGTTGGTTGGATATCCCTGAGGTACTTTAGTGCAGCCTATAAAATACCTATCCGTCTTGCATTGTGTCTATATTATATAACTGTAGGTGTTTTGCACCCATACCGACACTATTTGGATCATCAAGGAGGCGGACTGCTTCAACCCTGCGTGTCAGGGCCAACCCGGACTGATAAGGATACAGCATCCCAGCAGACAGACGGAGACACTCGATAAACATCCTCCCCACATGCAACTCACGTTATCTGAGCATTATTGCTGCATCACAGACGCTGCTATGGTGTATTCAATGTATATGGCGTCGGTGGCATTTTAGTCAGGCAGTTGGGATCGAAATTAAAAGTAAAAGGCTCAGGAGCTGAAACCCCGCCAGCGGCCCAACGTTGTGTCCTTGGGATAGGCGTTTACACGAATTTTCTTCACTACACCCAGGTGGAAATTGTTACCCGGTTATAAACAGCAAAAATCATGTCGGATTGTTCAAGTCTGAGAGCTTACTCAGCTTTTTGCTCTGTGTGGTTCCCTGGAAAAGGATACTTTTCTGAGTGTTGTGGGGTCTGTGGTTGTATTAAAATAGACTGTAAAACGCATAGAATTTGCTGATGTGCGGGCATATGTACTATTTTTTGCAATATTCAAATGCTACCTATCATTAAATTGACGCCCTTTCCAACACAGCGCGTTTATTTATGAAATAATGATCCTTGATTTGACGTCGTGCAGTCATCCACACGACAAAACCATGTGTGCAAGTACGTAGCCATAAAAACCCTCAAAGAACTCATGTTCCAAACTACCTCGTTGATGACTCGAACCAGGGCCACCGCTACAGCAGCTGAACATGATTCCCACTAAGCTGACGATTGTCCAGTAAATGCGAGTGCTGACCGAGAGAGTGACACCCCCCCTCCAAAAAAAAAAAAAAAAAAAAAAGAGTGACACGGGGTCATTGGGATATTGTTGCTCTTTTGGCTATGATTAAAAACAGTAAAAGCTTGGTGCATACATAATAGGATTTGCCAACGATTTTTTATTATATTCACCTCGCAAAATCGTGCTGTGACATAAATTATCGAGGAACGCAATATGCAGCTTCTTACCAATTGAATTTTCATGTCGAAAGCCATTGCAGAATCCAAATCAAATCGTTCAGCTGCAATAAACAGTTTTGAGTCTGAGTTTGAGTAAGGGTTTTGCGGCATTTGCAACACAAATAGGTCATTATGAAAGCTGACGGTTAGAGATGTTACTTGAGAGTAGCATAAATAAAAGAAGGAAGAGAGATAAGGGAGATAGCATGTTTGACAGGAAAGAAGTGCCCCCACCCAAAAAAAAAAAAAAAAAAATCACACTAAGAAATCCGCCAACCGCCCACTCAGTAAAGAGTGAAAATCTCTCTGATAACAAAAAAATAAAATAAAAAAATAACTCGACACCAAGTATAATTTAAAAACTAATGTATTTAATTAGACTCTCGGTACCAGAATTCATACGAGCATAATTTAGAAAGGGCAAAACAAACTCACAACAACATAAATGTGATAAATCAAAGCTGTTCAGAAATGCTGAAATAAATACTTGTGGACTATAAATATCTTTCTGTGGCGATCTTCAGCTTTACATCAGTCCATGCCACAGAAAGACCGACAGAAACTGGACACACACTTCTATTTTTGTCACTTTCGTCACGCATAGGTAGGAGACTACATGTAAGCGATCAAACTTAAACGCTTTTTTAAATGGTCTTTAAAAAATAACGGGGAGACAAGGTATTTTGATATATTTGTTTCCTATTCTAAGAAAAAAAAATCTGCAAATACAACAATAAATTATTGAAACATCCAAGGAAAAATTTGTTCGCACACGTACACGTACGCGCGCGCGCAGGCACGCACAAACGCACGCACGCAGGCGCGCACGCACACACAAACACACACACACACACACACACACACACACATACACACGTGGGCGCGCGCAAATAAGCACGCACAGACAAAATGCAGGCATGAACACACATACACACACAAATCAACACACACGCACCCACGCACACACACACGCACACACACGCACAAATCAACACACACACACATACACACACACACACACACACACACACACACATCTGCACACACTGTAAATCTCGATGGCCACCCATTAAAGTAAAATAAAGATAATACGCTAAACAACAAAATACGTCATGTAGTATATAATGTACATGGATAGCAGGACGGGGTGATAAACAGAGGAACGTTCAAACAGAAGGAACAGTTTTGAATGGAGATGTATAGGTTGCTTAATAGATTGATATAGAAGCAATAGATACAATAACTTGTGACTGGTACTTGTGAGCAAAACAAGTTTCAGTTGAAGAACACACATTCAGAGTTCATTGAGTGCTTTCTTCTTATTTATTCTCTCTCATTGCTCCTATGTGTTTTCACTATTTGACACCTTAAGCGTGCGCGCAAGTGCGCGCGCACACACACACACACACACACACATACACACACACACACACACATACACACACACACACACACACAAACAGACACACACACACACAACTCACAAAACACATACAAAGACACATACACAAGCAAACAGACGTGCACTCACACGTATAGACATAATAATATATAGCAAACTTTGAAGGAAATCGTAGACAGTCACAAGGAAACACAAATGGAAGGTAAACGTGATCAAAACAGGCCTAGGGCAAATTTCTGTTGTGTAGATCTATTGAATAAAAAGTTTGGGGAGGGGGGGATTATAATGTAAACTTTAAGCTTGTACAAGGTTGGCGACCTTAGAAATACGAGGAACATTTCTCGCCTCCAGTAAACACACAGCGCGTCATTGTAATTCCAACCAAACCAACGCGTACGCATTTGGAGTCCCATACGTTTTTTCTTTGTTTGTTTTTTTCCTTTCCTTTTTTTTGTTTTTTTTTTCCCTTTCTTTTTTTGATGTGCGTTGCCGGTGAAACTGTAGGAAAATAAATCGTCGTCCCAGGTCTATTTTGTCCAAAATGCACTCTATAGTTAAGTACACTTTGGCCAAAATAGTTCTTAGGCGACGAGATTTCAACTACAATCAAAACTTAAAGGAACTTAAAGGAAAAGTGTCACCTTTGAACGGTTCCAGAAATAGAATAAGTGCTTGAAAAGGCAATTTGCAAGAAAAAAAGTGCATGCATGCTAATGTTGTGTAATCAGTTTTCTAACAATTTCTTTTCAAATATCGGCAAAAAGTTGGTGATAAATACATGTATATACGTACATGGATCTGGCTAAGGTCATTTTCCGTGGGAGAAAAAAGGTTGGTTAAAGGGGGGGGGGGGGGGGGG